TGTGTGTGTGTGTGTGTGTGTGTGTGTGTGTGTGATATGCATTTATAAACATCCATGTTTAACATAAACATTTTTTCTTCAATAAAATAATAGATTGACAAAACTATAAAATACAATATGTTGTGTTTATGTTGTTTGATCGTTTTATGTCAGGTTAACTTTACCAAGGTTTAAATAAATTTAACATCAGTACAAATTATTTCAGGTCTCAAAGATTTATTCTTCAGCTGCRTATTGATGAAGGATGTGTCCGACGCTGATCCTCAGCTGAAACATGTTTTTTTCCTTTCTTCTGCCTAGAAATGTGAAAAACATGTAAAAACTGGGTGTAGAAATTATATCTGAATAAACTGGCCTGTCTGACAACTTGATAGGGGCTGTATTATTTTCTGTTTATGATGCCCAATTATTACATTAGTCTATGTTATTAGCAAAAACATCATCATTTGTGAAATAGTCTAACTATTACCACTTTAATATTAGTAAAGAACATATCTGACAACAGATGATCATTTATAAAAAAAAAAAGTTAAACATGAACATTGAAACATTTTGAATTTATAAGAAGGTTTTACTGTTAAAATCATTAATTTTGTTAAATATGTGTAATTTTTACCTGTGAAACAATCCCTTTTGCTCTTGTAAACTTGTCACAATTTCTGACGTTTATAGGCTAAAGCAGGGGTGGGCAATCCTGGTCCTCGAGGGCCGCAGTCCTGCAGGTTTTATGATTTTCCCTGCTCTAACACACCTGATTCAGACATTGAATTACAAGTTCTGCAGTATGGAGGACTGACACTGATATAACTAGAAAAAAAGCAGAAATATATAAATGGACCAATAAATAAATTCAATTAAAAATGCACCAATTACATTTAAAAAGGAGAGTTTTACCTCATGCTTTATAATTTAATTGACTTTCAAATTTATTTTTCCAACTTAATTCCAACTAATAATATATGTTTGCACATAATTTACATTTTACTGTTTTTTAAATATGTAATTATATGTAATATAACACACACACACACACACACACACAC